CAAAAATTAGATCTATAAAACCCATGCTTGCCTTTTCTAAAGAATTTTAAGGAAAAATATCTTCGTTTTTAAGGCATTATGTGTCTTTAAGTGGATAAGTTTGTTTGTATATTCAGTGTGCGTGGATAAACAGCCCTCAGATATTCAAGGACGTGCAGTTATAAATCATTGTGTAGAACAAACCACCTTACAAACGATAATAAACATAAAAACAAATCTTCTTCTCATAGTCATTGTGTTAATTGTAAAAGAGAATCATAATTAGGATGAAACAGGTAAACTGTTTAGTTGATATCCAACAGAAAGTACACACATATTGATGTGCATTTAGTGTATATCTAAATGTTTACAAACATACTCAATTATTGGATCAGTCTCATTAGTCATTACTCACTGGGCATGAATTTTACCTATTCAATATCATAATAGGTGAATTCCAAGAGTGATTTCTACACAATTGTTCATTACTTCCGACCAGAAAAATTCTGAACATATTAACAATTTGTTGCTTATAAAATAAACTTAAAATAACCATTACCATGATTAAATGTTGAATTTCTACTTAAGCCGGTTGCTAAAGGGGCCGTGGGACGGTAATTGCACTTTCCATTTACCGTTTCCAATGAATCAGGCTCAATCAAAACCGAGCCTGCAAAAATTTCCAAAATTTTTTCTTGTTTGGGTTTCCCTTTTGGGAATCTTTATTTTTTCTTATTTTTTAAAAACACCATAAAAAGTTCATGGGAAATATAATTTTAAGATGAGTGTTTAAGACCCTTCCATGGGTTTTTTTCTAGCAAAACTAACGTTTTCTGGCCGTTCAAAAAATTCAAAGACGTAAGAAAAATTTAAAAATTTGATTTTAACCCATAATTGAAAACTAAACCCCAAAAAAACGCCCTTTAAAGTCATAAAGACTAAATATTTACGAAAAAATGTTTTCCCAAACTACCCGTTAAAAATGAAAGTGTTTGTAATAAACAATTTAGGCAGAGATACTATAGTAAGATAATATACACACGTAGCATGTTTTTTGTTCATTTTTGTTTTAATCTAACGAAACCACTAAAAGTTAACTAGCATCTAAATGCCTTCATAATTATACCGACAAAGATGCAAATTATTGTTTCTTAAAATAATTTATAATGTATTCTTTTTAAGTTTTTGTACTTATGAAATTGTGCGTTAGTTAAGAGGAAGATTTCAATTTAATTACTGTATCCACTTTTGGCTGCTACGTATATAATAAAATATTGAAATATAACATTGATACTTAAGGCTACAAATCATGCATTATTATCTGTCGGATCGCACGTGTCCTTGACAAACTATAAACTATATTAATCACTTTACAATTAAGATATTCTCGTTTTACTAACATTAAACTAAATCATATAGTAACATATTTAAAGGCACATTATACCTCAGGAATCCATATGTTTTATTCTTAAGAAATGTCACACATATGTTAAATAATGTTTTAATAAATCGATTTAGAGCTTGTTTAATATTTAACAACTGTAGAAACTAGCGTTAAGTATGCCGTTAAATGTGTCGTTAAGGTAACACAATGTAAACAAAGTAGTATATTGGCTTCCATACAAAATACTTATTCACTATAATTGTATCAATTGCAAACGAAACAACAGAAGGAAAAAAAGTTAATCTATTTAGCAAAAGATTAGGTTTTTGGAATTTGTAATAAGGTAACCAAAAATAAAAAGAAAGTTTTTGAGAAATAAAAATGATAGCATTTATGAGTCACAATGTGTGTTTAAGATAACAGAAGAACTAATTTCAACTCAACAATTATGCACAGGTGATTGCATATTGCTTAATATTTATGAAGCTTTAAATGTTATAACATTTTTTATAAATAGCTATTATTCTTTGTTAAATTGTTTGAAGTGATACGATTTCTGTATAACAATATAGCGTGATAGCAATATATTTGACATACCTTTATAGGGGCGACCGTCACCGAGTGGTTATATATAGGGTCGTTGATTTCAAAGCATTTGCATATCACCGCTGTGGGTTCGAAATTCGACAGGGACTTTGGATTCTTTCATGTGCTAGCTTACGAAACGTCGGTGGTTCTACTAAGGTGCCCGTTCGTGCCTTAAATAATGCACGGAAGTCACATGAGGTCTTCCTCCACCAGTAAAGCTGGAACGTCGCCATATCACCTATACTGTGCCGGTGCGACGTAAACCCCAATCAAACAAACAATCAAACAGACATACCTCTTTCAACTAAAATGTGTTGAACATGTCCGACTCAATTAAGGTCGTAACAGTTATACCCATTGTTAATATCATCTTTATGCATAATGCATATCTTTTTAGTTAATGTATTACTATGTTGGTGTGACGTAAACCCCAATCAATTAAACAATTAAACTTTAACTGTATCCAATGTTTAATTTAAGAAACACACCATTTACTGGCCTGGTAATTGACTTTTATTTTTTTAAAGATAGATATCTGGTGTAAGAGTGCGGGTGACGTTGTTCAATATTTATTAGTCGACTAAATCAAAGCAAGTTTAGTGTTCAATTTCAATTTCATATATTTGGTTTATTATATTTTTTATTTATTATATTTAGTTTTTGTATTTTTGAAATATTTCCCATTTTCCAGACCGTTTGCTGTTACAATATGTTACAAAAACTGAAAATTAAATGGAAGCTGTACAAAAAGTGTAATCTTTTCGTATTGGTTTGAACACATTTTAAGTGGTTTTTATAAATAATTATAATATTTTCGTTGCAGAACATGTTATTTGTATTATCGTATGAAACTCATAGACACTACGCTGTGGTGTCCATGCATGCATGTTTCCAAGTTCATTCGGTTAGAATGTTTATCATTGTTTTTAAATTGTACTATCGTCTGAACACATCACAAATATCACGGAATGCTACTGGACATTTAATGTTTAGCTTGTCTTTAATAAAATAAACAAGGTAGTGACCGGACATCATCGTCAAACAATTAAATTAAATACCTATCGTGTTATATCATTGCTAACGTTACAGATACTTGTAAAACTAGCTTAGATTTGCTACCTTCTAATTTGAGAATACTATTAAATATTTTCAACCCTATTGATTTCACGTTTTAGCTGCCAACTTAATAATCTTTTAGCAGCTGTTAAATTTATTCCACAGCCTAAGCAACAACATGTTAAATACATCTTACGAAACTAAAATAAAATAAACTGAGTTAATAGTCGTATCAGATATTTTTAAACGATATGTATTAGAATTCTTTAGCTGAATGCAAAGATGCAATGTAATTGAATTACTGTAATAATTACTACAAAGAGATACTTGCTACAATTACTTCACATATTCTACATGTTTCATTGTGTGTTGTAATGTAACTAAAAAGTATATTTGTGATTAAAAAGTATAATTGTAACTAAAAGGTATGATTGTAACTAAAAGGTATAATAATAATGTGTTTTACAGATCAGAGTCTCCCAGTGTACTCAAACTTAGTTTTGCATGTCGAACATTGATCACAAGTAGAAAAATGTTTAAACCTATATAATAATTTTATCAGAGCAAAACACTTAATTCGTCATGTTTATTCAAAAATGTGTATAGTTTATACGTGCAAATGTTAACCGAAATGTAACCAAATTTTGCGTTTTAAACAGATTATTTTACATGCATGCGATGGCCAAATGTTTTATAAATGTACCTGCAGGTACTGTTTTCAAAATATAAAAATGAATACTATGAGAAAACAAGACATACTAACTTAGATTTAAAGTGACTTTTTGTATTTAAAGATTATCTAACAAATAAAATAAATTACACGTTGATCTCTGGTTATTGGGAAGCAGTAGGTTATGAAGTGAATTATCGATTCAAAAGTCAATATTGAAAAATTGCGCAGATGTATTAAGCAGTTGGTTATAAGAAATAAGAAAATGATAATTAAACGATATAGAATAAAATTGTATTCTGCATTAAATTCTTGCAGCTGCAGAAGTGCTATACTTTCTATATCTCTTCTTATCAGATTATTTAAAGACAGTGCAGTAATAATGCCACAATAACAGTATCACAATCGTCAAATATTGTCACAAATATACACCATATGCAAATCAGAACACTACAAAATAGTATTGCAATATTGCAGAAGGATTTAGCAAAGCAAGATAACGTGATGACATAAAATAGTAGAAGATAATTGTAGAAGTTTTTATTCCGTGATTATCAGTATCTCCTGTGAATTGTTAATATTCTCATTTGAGTATTTATGATTATCTGTTTCGATGCACAAGAAGTACATCGCACGTGTTAATGGAAAAAGTTGAACAAACCTAGCAAAACAAATACCCTTAGATATAGCAATTTTGTTCATAGTTTGTACATATTCAACAAAATACGATATTTTGTTATACTCTGCTTTTTCGTTATCTTTTTTTCTTTCGGAACATTTGCAACAATCTTCTTCAATGCCTTTATTTCTATATTTTGCTTCGTACAAACGTATGTATTGCTGTATTATAATATATGAGCGGACATAATGTTATTGTTTTTATGATTAAAATTAATGGAGTAGATGTCAATATCAGCACAGGGACATGGCGTACATTCAAACATTGGTTTATTTCTTCCTTCAAAGTATCTTTTATCAAGGTTATACATTATGTTTACATTGATTAGTCTTATTACTTTACTACAATATTATGCATTAAGTATTTAACCGCTCTTACTAAAGACATCGTTCGTAAAGATATAAGTTCGGCTATTACATAGATGTTGTTTTTAAATTAAACATGCTTTTTTCACTTGTTGTCACGGCTGTCGGACGAGTATGTAAACACGTGAATTCAAGTGATAAAGATATGTCACAGTCCTTGAATAAAATTTATTTTCTTTTTTTCGTCATTTTATCAATGTTAAATTCATGTTTACCTAGCTATCCATGACTGACGTTGTACTTACGAGATATAATTTACCGGCTAAGCATACAGGTAGGTTTATCTGTGTTACCTTGAGAAAGGTTGTTTTTCAGCATCATTTTACATTTGCAATCGTTTCAGTGACATTGAACTAGATATATCTAAAGGTGTATGGATAATTAAACCATGGATTTTCTATATAGAGGGCTTTTCGTGGTGTTATGTGTTTCACATTCATATGCATGTAAGTAATAGCCAATTTTCTAAAAATATAAGGGAGGTATTTTTTTTAACCCTTTATCTATTGATAGGTCCAGTAAAAAGGCGTTACTAGTTGCTCCTTTTCATAAAATTTGTTACGTGCAATATATTGATCAAATATTTAAAGCATTTTGTTTGTAAAAATTACAAATTTTAAACTATATAATTTAATGAGATCAGTCCTTATATCGGAAGTATTTTTAGAATCGTTACATACTAGTTATTCTTAATTTTGTTAACTATATAATGTTTAGTGTAAAATATTTATCATACTTCATATAAATTCAGACAAATGTTACATTTAACCTCCGGAACGAAAACGATTATTCTTCTGAAGGAAAGGCAAATGATCATTTTATAATGCTTTAATTATATATTTAAAGTATGTTGATGCTTTTCACGTGAAAAATACAGCATTGAATGTGAAGTAATTTGTGAAAAGATGGTGATTTATTTACTATTTCCAATACGAACCGTGTAAGAAACTGTAACTGAACACCAAATTTATAAAAAAAAACAAAAAAAACAACAAAAAAAACAAAGAAAAAACAAAAAACAATAAACCAAAAACGAATCAACAAAAACAACAACAACAAAAAAAAACCCACAAAAAACAACAACAACATAGAAAGACAATACACGCTTTGAGGCTAAATTGAATTTTAATAACGGCAATGATAACATGTAATATAAGAAGCTTCTGTTGCTACAATATGTCCGCAACTAAATGCATAATGCCATTAATGCCATAATGCATATGTCATCAATCAACTATATTGCTCAATTATATCTCATTCATGTTGATATATCATTTTTGTACATCAATATAACCTGCTACAAAGTGATCAAATGCAATGTACTGATCTGCATTTTCAAAAAAAGAAACATCATCAAGAATCTTTAAATGTTATGAAAATAGTTTTGATTGTTTGAAAATTAGACTTCATCTTACCTTCGAAAAGTAATGTTCATTTACTAAAGGTAAATGCTTATTCAAGGTCGGGAAGAAAGTAAATGTTAATCATTGAATTAACTTTAAATTAATTGTCAGAAAACCTAAAATATTTGGAAACAATGTTCTGAATTAATAGGATATTAATTACATAATACATGTTTGACAAGTACCTAAGTAACGCCCTAAATTCCAACTAATGATGAAACATGTGACATGAAACTGTTTTGATCTGTGTGAGTGGTAATCATCATTCCTATAGAATTGTATTAATTGGCAAGGACTCAAAACATGGAAAGTCTTTTAACGAGATAGACAATTAAATAGTGGTTGGTTCTAGAATAATTAGATAATAATGAAGGAATAACAAAGCCTTCAGAGTATTTTAAATAAATTGGTTGTTTTTATTCTGACTACACATCATAACTTATAAAGATAAAAATATATTTATCTTACAGTGAATATAGTTTCTTGCAAAGTATGTACATTGAAAAAAACAAAGGTACTGTAAAAATATGAATGTTAACATCAGACTTCAAAAAATGCAAGGCAAATCGAAAAGAAAGTGATTGAAATGATTTTAAGAAAGTGACTAATGCTAACTATAAAAATAATATTAAGTGTCATGTTTATTGTACTTATCCTGGTCAGAACTTATAAATAGTGTCCATCTTATTATAAAAAATAAGTAATAAGAGATTATAATCTTCTTTCAAGCAGCTTCACTGGAATTTTGCGTAATGCAGGTCAAGTTTCCTATGACTGACTTTTAATTGAAATGCAACAAAGTTCACTACTGTTTGTTGCCTCGATGTGTTTAATTGCATATTTAATCAATTATGTTTATACGAGGATTGTCCCAATATTTTGTGACAAGATTATCCAAAACAAAATTAGATAGGTATGGATTAAATATTTTAGTATGTTTTAAATGCACATGATAGAAACATTGAAATGATTACGACCCATTATATGGAAAATGCAGATTATTTGGCGTGCGCCGGGATTTTGATATTAATAAGAATTTAAAAGTAAAAATGGAAGGGTTATTGTAAATGACTTGATGTAATGAAAAACAAAAGTATTAAGTTCAGTAGACTTGATCCATAAGTATGTAAAATGTATAATATTGTTCTCACTTACCATTCAATGATGTTATGAGAACATTACACAATGTTTTTTAAAAATAACTTTTATGATTTGAATTTAATCCGAAAAAAGGGTGGTGTAAAGTTGTCATTTGTATGCTAATATATTCTTAATTTTCATAAGCATATGCATTAGCACCAGCCGTGTTTTATACCAGGATCTTGATAAACCAGGGTCGTGTTTTACATCAGCGTCAGAAACAAATTATCCTGTTTTGTTTTTTCCTATGATATGTTACGTAGCGGGTGATTAAAGTACTAAGCGTTGTGTTTTTACGTACACTTTTTCAGTAATTAAAACAGTCTATTTCTTTAGCTCACTCTAACCATCTCAGCCTTTTAAACGCCAATAACCTTTAAATATCAACTAGAAAAAAACACATTATTAAAATATTTCATGCACCTGCATTTTGTTTGTACCATACGTTAATAATTTTACTAATAATAGAAATAGAAATTTCAAAATATTGATGAGATTTTGTAAAATGTCTATCAGAATTAATACAACAAATTAGGTATTAAATGTAATATTAGATTAACTATAACATCGTTCCACTTTTACATGAACATTAAATACAAATCAAGAGCAATTAACACAATAATATTATGATACTTAGACAGACAATCCAATAAAGAACAAATTGAAAATATTCAAAGTTCACCATTTACAGCAAGTGTGAGAAATGTTTCGCATAACTAACAATCAAGTACTGTCGGATTAACTTATCTGAGGACTACAAAAAAAATTAATGAAAATAATTGTAAACATCAAAACCGCATAAATTTTACACCCCATTCATCATGAAGAATTACATAACATTGAGCGGTAATTTCACGATTCGCTTACATTCCCTATTTTTACCTTATTATACATATCAAAGTACAAGTACAAACTTATCAGGTTGATTTTTCTTTTTGAATTTTGCTGATAAGCGTGTTTGCATTCAGTAGCCTATGCGTAAACTTTATTAAGTTATTCAAGGACATGCAGGTATGAAAAATACTTAATACTTAAGAAAACTTAATAAAAAATTGAAAAATAGGCGAGATGAGAGTTATGTAAAAACATCTCGTGAAGAAATATCTTAATCATAGGACATATTTTGAAATAATATGAAGATGTTACAAGACGGCAGAGGAAGGATGGAAGGAGATAACTGGCCCGCAAATAGACGATTTCAGCTGGGTATTATTTATTTCAAGACCGATTTTCACTTTCCGGCCCGTCTACGTCGTGTATAAATTCTTTAACACTCCTGATTTGAGCTTATAGGAACACTATTTTTACTTCTTTAATATTTATGCCGTTGAAGTTCCTGGCTCTCGAAATGAAACAATAGTTTACTTAATAATCAAGGACGTTGAATATGGAACATGCAACTGATGATGAAATAGCGGAAAAAATCCAGAAAAAAACTCTCAATGTCATACTGTTGATTTTCATTACAGACTGATAATAATTGCGGAAACATGTTTACCTGTACAATGAATAAATAGTTATGTAATATTTATGCGGATCTCTGATGAAATACAACAATACATTGCTGGCAAGGGTGAAAGTCCCTTGAGAGAAATGGCAACACAAAAACAATCGTTAAACTCGTTTTAGATGAGTCTGTTCATGAGTGATAATGCAAAGTGCAACATCCCTAAAACATCTTAGCTCTAACCTTATTTTAACACCTAAGTACACGACATCTTTACAGGTACTTTACAACACTGTTGTTGTGAGAATAATGTTTTTTAAGAGGGAGATCCCTCAAAATCTACGCCTGCAAAATGATAATTGAAAATCACAAACAAGATATTACTGAGTCAATTAAACAGTGAAAGCACAACTAATAGACTATCTTTAAAATTCCTTCATAATTGTTACTAAAACATAGATGAAAATAATTACATATAAAATGTTACTGAATTATGTTCGTACCAGAATAAACAAGTGTTAAATGTACTATTTTGTGTTTATTTTTTTAACTATAAGTTTTAGCACAAAAGAGAAATTTACATGTAATAATATGAAATCTTACGTCAATTTAGAGGAGAATTAAAAAATAAAAGGCTGTGTCGCATAATTAAGTACCATTGAAGCTTACTGTGGTATGCAAAGCATTGTTTTCTCACGTTTCCTACTAGTCTTTCAGAATCCGTTAATTGTATAAATGAGCCGCGCCACGACAAAACCATCATAGTGCGTTTGCGAACAGCATGGATCCAGACCAGCCTGCGCATCCGCACAGTCTGATCAGGATCCATGTTGTTCGCTATTAGTTTCTCTACTTGTAATAGAGTTGGTAAGCAAACATCATGGATCCTGATCAGACTGTGCGGATGCGCAGGCTGGTCTGGAATCATGCTGGTCGCAAACCCATTATGTTGGTTTTGTCATGACACGGCATTAGTTTTGCATTTTGTAGATTCACTACTTTATTTTTATCTTTTTCATTTGTACTTAATCATGTTTAATTTTAAAAACATGTTAAATGTGTATGATTGTTTAAGATTGAGAAGAAACACTACTTGTAGGCGTTTTATTTGCTTTATTGTATAGATTGAATACTACTTAAGCGGGTGCTAGAGTGTGCAGTAAATTATGTTCAATCTTTTACCTTCCAAACAATGCCTCGATCAAAACGAGTGTGTTATACTTGTTTCAAGTGTTCTTGACGAATATATATTTTCTTTTCTTTGATACAACAACAGTTACTAAGAGACGTTTAGAAGGTATAAGAAGCTCCCTTATGCTTCGTCGAAGTGTTGTAATATTTTCCTTTTCTTTTCGGACCATTGATTTAGATACTTTTAGTGTAGAGGGCTGATAAAATCGATGCTTAGTGAATGAGGAATGCTGTACGTTTATCAATTCAGATGTAGTAATCTGTTATAACGTTCTTGATGTAGTTCTTTATCCTGATTTTTTTATTTTTAAACAAATGTTATGTAAGCTATATATGTACTCTGTGCTCTGGTGTCAATATGCTTTGTAACATATTCCACTGAAAAGTTTAATATTGGTTGTAATATATTTAATCGTGAAGACATATCACATAAGTCATTACACTGTATCGGTCATTTATATATTATCTGCGTGTTTTGGAATAGAGATTTGATGGTAACCGGTCATCATCATTATCTAACAGATTATAGAAATTACCTATTGTTAGGATATTAGTGTTGGTGCGTCGACGATGTGTACATACTAGCATAGTTTTCCTAACTGATAATTGGAAAAGAGTATTTTGATTATTTACCTGGAAAAAAACACGTTGCAAGTGTTTCCGACCAACAAAAGTGCCAAATAAATAAGTTCATTGTATCTGTATTGTTCGAATTAAGAAAACAGAAAAACTTGTAGAAGGCAGCATACGTGCAAATCTGTACAGTTCTATCGCAATAACATAACGTCAAAACATTTTTTAAATATACTAATATATGTAACAACTGTTGGAAGAACATTTTAGATATTTTAATACGAAAGACCACCGAGGACAATTCAAATTCATGAATTCTCGATTTCAACTTCACGAATATCCGGTTTCAGCTTCATGAATTCATGATTTCAACTTATCGAATTCACGATTTTAACTTTCCGAATTCTCTGTTTCAACTTCATGAAATCACGAATTAAACTTCATGAATTCACGATTTCATCTTCATGAATTCACGATTTTAACTTCATGCAGTTGGAAATCGTGAATTCATAAAGTTGAAATCGTGAATTCGTGAAGTTGAAATCGTGAATTCGTGAAGTTGAAATTGTGATTTCGTGAAGTTGAAATTTTGAATAAATGAAGTTAAAGTCGTGAAATTGAAATCGTGAATAAATGAAGTTGAAATCGTGAATTCATGAAGTGAAAATAGTGATTGAAATCGTAAATTTGTGAAGTGAAAATGATAAATTCACGTAGTTGAATTCGTGAAGTTGAAATTGTGATTTCAAGAATTTAAAATCGCAAATTAATGAAGTGGAATTCGTGAACTCATGAAGCTGAATTCGTGAATTTGTGAAGTGAATATCATGAATTTACTTAGTTGAATTCGTGAAGTTGAAATCATGTATTTGTAAAGTTGAAATCGTGAATTCACGAAGATGATGTCGTGAATTCATGAAGCTGAAATCGTGAATTCGTGAATTCCCTTTGTTGAGAACGGGAATTCACGATCATGTTTAAATTGTGAATTCAAAAAAATGAAAATTAGAATTTATGAAGCTAAAATGGCCCTACTTGTCTGTCGTAATTTAACAATGTTAGTTCTCACTTTGATATATATACGTAGATGCATAGTTATAAAATACATGTATAAGAGTTTCTTCCTCGGCTATTTTTCCAAAACAATGAACCACACACATAAACAAACTTAAATTTGAATGATATAATTAGGCAAAGATTGATTTACAAATCGCAATAATGAAATTAAATAAATATCATGTGTATTTTCAACAAGTCATTAGATAAACGTACTTTATGTATAGCAAAAATAATATTTGTTTTAATTGTTCTTTAAGTAATAATAAAATTACAGATAAAACGAACAAATTATGTTTAAAAGAGATCGACACATTGAATTCATTTGTTAAAGTACTGAGTAGTATTTATACATGTCAACCACTGCTCACAGGTAGTGTACATACTTTTATCAGCGGGGAACATTTTCGCCTTCTTCTAGTATTATAGTTTATTAATAGTGAGTGGATGTTAACAAATGTGTAACCAAAATGAGCGTTTTTGAACAACTTGTTATAATAGCTGTATGTTCCATGAATCGATTCACAGGTAAGTTATGATAAAAAATATCTTTATTCTAAACATCATTCTTTATTCTGAACTTTCTAAACAGCCCATCTCAAACTGGAATAAGGTAGATGTAAATATTAAAACGAATTCTATGATCGAATAATTTCAGTATAATGATGTAATGAATTTGATGATATAAGGTAATTATTATTTAACGATAGCTTATTTAAATTGCAAGTGAAATATCTACAGCTGCGGTAGGCATCAAATACTTCTTATAAGATAATTGTAATGAAAATCCACGTTAGTGACTTTTCCGCAGTAATAATTTCGTATTCAAAAACTAACATTCTGATCTCATGCATATGCACGTCTCGTCGTTGTGACATACGTGTATAATGTGTTTTAACATCAGATCTTGTGAAATAAATTGGCACGCCTGTCTATGTTGTGCCTTTAATTCCATAGACCATAACTGAAAAATAGTAAAATTATTTTCCATGTTCTTGTATAAGTTTTAACTGATGTGTGTACGTAGTCTGCATCATACTTTTGATTGAACCATGTAGATACAGTTGTATATACTGATATACCTGTATATATATATTTTCGTTAATGTATAATTGAATTATAACGCCTACGACAATATGAATATCCCTATGTCGATCCAATAAGAACACATTGGCAAATAACACTGATTCAATTGGATAGAAAGAATTAGCTAAGCAAAGTTATTACATTAAAAAAGCAGAAGATAATTAGAGAAACTGTGTTGTTTATGTTTTACCTGTATAGAAAAACAAGAAGTATTGCGCACGTGTTAGCACGTGTTTATAATGGGTGAATGATTATTGGTAAATATGATCAGAGTAAGACTAAGATGTCGTACACTGTATTGATTCTCGATCTGTCTTAGCAGTTTTAAGGTATTAGGGGCTTTAACATATTCGTTTTCTATGACAACGTTATCTACAGTACTGCTTTTACTGTTAATCTTTTTCGTATGTATTCATTTTAGTATTTAATTTGTCATTTTATTTGCATTTATATTCATTCTATAGTATCCATTAGTGCATGAATAATGTTTATTAAAATGCATAAAAATTACGTTGCCAACTAGGAAAATAACTACAAATAAATGACTAATTATCAAGTAAAACATATTATTATGCCCCCACAATGTGGGAGCATATAGCATTGCACTTGTCCGTCCGTCAATCCGTCAGTCCGTCCGTCCGTACGTCCCGAAATCTTGTGAACGCAACTCCTCTTAAACCGGATGGCAGATTTTGCTTAAACTTATAGGGATGAACAACCTTAATGTGTTGATGGTAGTAAAGGAAGGAATTTTTGCTGCGACCAAATTTAACAGAATTATGGCCCTTTGTTGATTTTTTCACTAGATACAATGTAGACATTTTGTGAACGCAACTCCTCTTAAACCGGTTGGCAGATTTTGCTTAAACTTACAGGGATGAACAACCTTAATGTGTAGATGGTAGTAAAGGAAGGAATTTTCGCTGCGACCAAATTTTACAGCATTATGGCCCTTTGATGATTTTTTCACTATATACTATGTAGAAATTTTGTGAATGCAACTCTTAAACCGGATGGCAGATTTTGCTTAAACTTCCAGGGATGAACAACCTTAATGTGTAGATGGCAGTAAAGGAAGGAATGTTTGCTGCAACCAAATTTAACAGAATTATGGCCCTTTGTTGATTTTCTCATTATATACTTTGTAGAAATTTTGTGAATGTAACTCCTCTTAAACCGGATGGCAGAGTTTGCTTAAACTTCCAGGGATTTACAACCTTAATGTGTAGATGTTAGTAAAGGAAAGAATTTTTGCTGCGACCAAATTTAACAGAATTATGGCCCTTTGTTGATTTTTTGTCCAAAAAATATTTGACCTAGAGTCATAAGATTGACAGAACAGTGGCGTGTGGGGGCATCCGTGTCCTATGGACACATTTCTAGTTTATCATAGTTCATTTGCATTTCACAGCCCTGCAGCCTGGTAACTGGAACACATGTGAAAATGGCGAGGTAGGTGGATATGATTTTTTCCTCAAACAACTCAGTTAACCAAATACTTGTAACTTAAAATACACTTGTTCCTGTTTGTAAAGCACTTTATTGAATATTGTTTTAATAAAATATTGCTATGTTTAACTCAGTCCTTCGGTGGAAACGTAAAATCCATGTCTGTACGACATATTTATAACTTTGTTTACGTAAACTAGGACGATTTTATTACTTTTTGCTTATTACGTATTTGTGAGAAATTGATTTAACTTTTCATTGTCAACGGTCAAGTCATATTTTAAGCTTATCTACTCTGGAGTGATAATGTAGTTTTATCAGCTTAAGTGCTTAAGCATATTTCTTTTTTATTTCAACCGCTATTTACACAGTTCCTTTGATATATTCCTTGCTTTCCTTTTCTAACTTTATTAAATATATGTGCAAATGTGTTCATCATATAGTTGTATATTTTTCAGTTTGTATCAACACGGACCAATACCTCCTCACAGGTCATGGCGTTACGTACAGAGATGACACTAAAGAAAATTGGCGCATATATAGTGCCATCTGAGGACTTCCATATGGTATTTTGAGAATATATTTTCATGTCAATATGGCGCTTGGTAAATAATGGGAATAAAGATTCGTGTGATCCTATAAAATAAAAGTAAAATTCATCGGCTTGTTAAGTGATTTACCTGCATGCACTATCCTTAAAACCGCTTTTTGATTACGAAACAGAAGTTAAACTGTAATGATTTTAAACTAGACCACATGCGTCAATAAATCAGGTTGAGTTACGTAAACACTATGATTCCAACTCAGATGCAAACCACTTGTGTAAGGATCTTAAGGTGATGGTCCTTTGCTTTTATTTCCTGTTGGAATATCATTTCTGTGCTATTTCAGGCTAATTATAGCAGTCATGTTATCTTGATAAAAGTGCAAACAACGTCTCTAGAGCTATTTTCAACACACCAATGTCATTTGTTTCTAAAAATTAAAGATCAGGAAACGAATTGTATTTATTTAAGATATGACCACCCTAACGGACACGAAAAGAAACTAAAAAGTCAGATATTTTCCGTAAAGTACACTTGGTTCCGTTTTCACACAGGTTAAAGCTCAGAATCCAGATCAGGATCAAATGTAAAAAAAAAATCAAATAACCTTTACCGCACGTACGTCAATTTTCTGAGCTTCAGCTTGGATGTAAGAAGGGCCCTTTTTAAATTACAATGAACCTTTATATAATCTATAATATCATCCTTGTGAAATATGTTTTCCCATAATGAATTGTTAGGAAACGGATAATAACATTCAGCTTACAATCCACACAAACAAAATGATTTTTTGTGCTCAAAATGTATGAAATATGTATAAAAATATATAAATGTATAAAAACACTTTTTTCTTTTTAAAATGGAAATGAGAGATACAAAAATGATATTAAAAGGAAAAAAGAAAAAAAAGTTGAATCTTCTGCGGTTTGAAATTATCTTTAGATATTATGTAATGAAGCTATCCAGTTAGTTTACAGAACATCGGTGGTTTTAACCAGGTGCACAATTGTTCCTTAAATAATGTTCTCCACTTTTTCTCAAAATCTTGTGCCTTTATAGCTCTATTTTTATTTCAGTCAAGCCACGTTTGTTTGTCTAGCTTTGTTAAAGAAGCAAACAGTTGACCATGAAATAAATATGATTGTTAACAAAGTTCATATTTTATATTGATAAATAAAAGACGCAAAAACTAAATGGGAAATTGATACGTTAAAAGTGTCAGATTATATTTTTCATGAATGTAATAATTTTCAGAGCGAGTTTGTGTCAGGATATGATCAGAGAAGAGCTTTCATATCCGGGTTCGATGGCTCAATGGGTAAGCCTTAATATCATGAAAGGAACTTTTGGTAAACTGAAACCTGTAATTTATACTCAATTGATGTAAATGATACTTCTCAACTTAAGCTGTCGAGAAATATCTATACTTTCTTTCAACTCTTCTGATATCATCTGCTTGATATGAAAAAGAAAGTTGTTTATGTCTTGATTTTCGATAAGTTTAAACATAATAACATTCAATGTTCTGTCGATTGGAATATATAATGAATGTACTTTTATTCAATATAGTTATAATACTAATAATGTGATTCATTTAAGAACAATTATAAATTGATATATACATCATTCAGATTATGATTGACCGCTGTGTAATTTTACATAACGAAATATGTCCAATAATAGGTACAGCAGTGATTACAGCGACGCATGCCGCCTTATGGACCAGGGGTAAATACTTCCTCCAAGCTGAGACCCAACTAGGCTGTGATTGGATTCTTATGCGAGAAAGTAAGTTGTTACTGAGCAAGCAATATTTCATTTGGACTTGCCCTTTACTTTTTCCGAGGTCTCAGTACAAAGATGTTTAGTCATGTACACGTATCTTTGAATAAATTAAGACATTAAGGTATTCTTAATACACAACTTGTGATGTTATATTTTATTGTATGGATAGTTTTATCTCTACAAATATATTTACAGGGGAGCCTGGTGTTCCAACCATCGAGGAATGGCTGGGTGAACAGCTTAAAGAACAAACACTGAAGAAGGTCGGCGCGTGTCCGTATTTCTTTGGAAACTGTAAGTTAAATACAATTCGAATTGTGATTTTGATTTTACCTTGAAATAGTGCGTTTAGTGTTTTTTGGATGTTTTTTTTTTATTTTGCAATATGCTCTTCTATAACTAATGTAATTTATATTGCAGCTGCCTGGCAACAGCATAGTATGGCACTTGAACAACAGGGACTAAGGATTGAGCCTGTTTTACCTGACTTGGTCGACAAAATTTGGACAGACGACAGACCAGAGTTCCCTGATACAGTCATAAATCCGTATCCGTTAAAATATGCTGGTGAGTTACGATATTAACTATAATATTCAGCATTTCAAGGGTTTATTGTTTTATTACACGTCGTGCCTCGCACATCAATTCATCTCATATAATTAATTATAAGTTTATTGTTGCTAAAACACGTGTTTCTGCTGCTTTCTTTTAAAAACGACACTCGTTTACGGACAGCAATGTATTTATTGTAAGGACTTTTTGTTGTTAACTTTAAATTTAATTATTTAGGCAAATCTTGGCAAGACAAAGTTGGCGAGGTCCGGCAAGAGATGGAGAAAAGGGACGCAGATGCCTTGATTGTAACGATGCTAGATGAGACAGCGTGTATGTTAATTTAGATTATTTTAGTCACATTTCATGATGATTTATCCATATCACTTAGGAATTTTCTTAAAAACAATTTAGAAGTGACTTAATTTTTTGTTCTCGGATACTATAGAAAAACCAAAAATGTTTTATTATTTGTATGATCACTGAATGAGATTAATATTTTGAATGTATTCTCTACATTACTTGCCAACAGAATAAATTTCTGATATTTATTTTACAGGGTTATTTAATATGAGGGCCACGGACATTCGAGGATTTGTTAATGATCCTTTCTTCTACTCTCTAGCAATTGTTCGACCGAACTCTATAAGGTAATCAGATTTTATCTTAAACACTTGTATAAGATTCAAAATTACATTTTTCGATTTATTTATGTTTCTTATACGATGCTGATCTGAATTAGTATCCTTTAAATTTTAAATCGAAGGAAATTATACAGAAATGGTTGTTTGAATACAGGTCTTAAAAGTTTTTATCAGATGTTTTAAAAATGTAAGGTTCAATTAGTTGAATATATATATATATTATTAGAATCAACCATAACATTAACATGATCAAATCTTAACAGTTTGTATATAAAGAACAAAGATATAAAGCTAACAGCCGCACCGAAAGATCCTGAAAGTGACGTGAATATGAAAGAACATCTAAACACTAGAGCTGATGGCTCTTGTCCTAAAACAGCCAACAAACTTTGTGTCACTGTAAGAATTTTACACAATAGTATATACAGTTAATAAACAAGCAGATGTATTTGGATTTTAACCGTAATATATCTTAATATAATATACAACTTTATAGATTGTTTTTACCTTTACGTAATAAATGAAGCTCAAAATCGTTTAGAAAAGCTTGACTGAATTGACTTTATTTTTTAAAGAAATTGATTGAAATATACAGAAATTACATTGGGTCATTAGAGTAATACATGGTTCATGCTAAGTAAATTATAAAATTGACAGAATTATAGAAAAATGTTAATTTATTTTACTTTCATTTGTTCACTCACTATATACCCATGGATTGGCATAATTTATGTCATTTTAATTAAACAATGGTCACATTTTTTATTTCAAAACTATGCAACGTCACATGTTATGTTTGGCTCATTCGATAAAGTATTATACGCATGTATATAACTGGCAAAGTGTTGATTTTATTATCAAAGCCTACAGATCTGAACAATATCTTACATGTTGTTATAAATTACAGTTGCATCAGTTTTATAACGTTATCTATGCTGACGACTTACACTCATTCTTTTAAGATCAAGCGACTTGTTGTTTTCTCTAGTGCAAGTTATACTGATTAAAACCGACATTTATTACGGTTGTGCATATTTTGTATCTAGGTAAAAGAGTACAGTTATGATACATTCATTATGGAACTCGATGCCCTGGCAAGGAATGCATCTGTCAAACGCATCTGGCTGTCATATTTCTGTAACTACGCTGTTTATAACATGATTGATGAGGTATTCCATGTATAGTGCATGTATTAGTGCTTTTTTCTCATCGTAATTAAAGTTCTTATTTAGATTAATTAAGGTAAAAACCAGTTTACAATTAGTATCAGTGACAGTAAAATGTCTTTTCATGCTTTCAAATTGTCTTAACTGGTTAAGCTTAAACATTACAATTACTTGTTATATATTCGAACTTGCTACGTTATCTTGTTGATATTGAAATAATTATAGTATTGGTTTGATACTTCGGAAAATTAGAAATATAATCTATGGTTAATTATTCGGGAAAGTAGAAATATGTTTGGAACTTCGGCAATGAGAAATATAAACTATGTTTTATATTTCAGGATAAGATCTTCGTTGATAATACACCAGTGGCTATGCTAAAAACGCAGAAAAATGATGTGGAAGTTCAGGGAATGACTAATTGCCATGTAAGTTTGAAAAAATTCGCGGAATTCATTTTATAAAACTTTTATTATACGTGATGAAAATTGGAGAAAATGACTTCACAGACAAATACTTTAATAATTCATCTTAATTACAAACATGTTTCATCTACACCACTCATCAACGTGCCTTTAGTAATATCTATCAATAAACTTTGCTGTCGCATGATAAATTGTATACCTGGTGAAACAACTTTAGAATTTGTTGGTCTATTGACAGTTTTAATTACATGGTTCTTTTTGTTGATTTTGCTTTTATTTAAGAATGACAATTTTAGCTAAGTAGATACGCATACAGACTTGTTATTTTTGTTTTCAATGTTAAAGTGTGATTTTATTCAACTGTACAAGTTTTAGTTTACAATTAGAAATAAACATATGTCTTTTTGAGTTTTGAGGTGCCTATAACTTTTATCATACAGATTCGCGATGCAGCGGCATTGGCTATATTTGCATCAAAACTAGAAAAGGGAGTAAGTATTCTCAGACTGTAAGTCATCTAACAAAAACAATGATCTCATCGAGATAAACAAAAATATAGTTAAGATAAGTGTTAGATACATAATAGAAGTTAATTGATAACATATAATGAACTTTTGATATAATTTGGTATTTTTCAATGAAAGCATTCCTTGTTATGTTAAAATTAAGATGAAAAAATACAAGTAGATAAAATTTTGATGTGTTCTTTGATAATACTAAATAAAGTTAAGCAAGTTTTAGGTAAGAAATTCAAATTGTTAAAAATGTACCTTATATTTAAAGAATTTGTTTATTTTTTGCAATCTGTATGTGTATAGATAGTGTTAATGTGTAACTAGGTAAAAGCTGGTGAGGAATGGACTGAACTATCTGCATCAAAAGAATTGACACGGTTGAGATCGTAAGTCGAAAACAGACTAAAATATATCAATAAATATAAGTCTTAAAAGTCCATAAATATGTGCTGAAGGGCAGTTTGATTCAGCACATCTGCATATCTGGGTTATATCTAAATGCTTACTCTATATTTATAAGAAATAATTGCTGCCATCAGATGTGTTATTCAGATTGACAAGTAAATCGACTAACACAAAATAACATTAATGCACCGACAAATTATTAACAAATTCATTCTACCGTGTCAGCTGCAAACCAATCTTACGTGACGCTATGCCAATCCAAGAGTGAATGGTGAGTGTTCAGGTAATAAATTAAATAACTATACATTTTGCCATTTATTTGTTTTCAATGTTATAGTAATTATCAAAGGAGAATATATAACCCCGTTGTCCATCTAAATATTTACAGTCATATATATCCTTCTCGTTCGTTTTATAAAAAGAATGGGTAAATCTTTTCATATTTATGCAGTTTTTATATTTTAAACATCTGTGATTCAATCGCAATTAAAATAGTCAATCTTTCAAAATATACAACTAGCGTAGTGAGAGAAATGAGCATCATGTCACTTTTAAAAGCTATTCTCTTATAAAAGGTGTAGAATATATATAAATATATATATATATATATATATATATATATATATATATATATATATATATATATATATATATATATATATATATATATATATATATATATATATATATATATATATACTGTATATATAAAGATTATATACAATTTAAAAGCTTAAGTAAATTTTAAAAGATTATTGACAATTAAATCAAATTTCGTGTCAGTAAGAAATTTGCTGTGACACAGTTATAGAAATATATTATTCAATAGATTTTGTACTGTAGCTCTATGTTATTTCAGATTACAAGATCTCAACCGAGGAGACAGCTTTGCTTCTATATCGTCGTCGGGTTCCAACGCAGCTATCATACATTACTTCCCGAATAACCAGACTGATCGTCGTATCACTGCTGATGAAACGTATCTCATTGATTCCGGCGGACAGTATCTGTACAGTATTTCTATCATTTATAACTTTTTGCGAAAATATATTTCATAATTATGCATAAAAATAAGCATATGTCAATGCAAATTACATACTTTCTTTATAAAGTTTTTGAATGAAGAACAATAAGTTTGTTACTAAAAGCTCCTATTACTGAAACTCACCATTTATTTCTTTCTGTTTCAATATTCAATTGAAAAAGAAAGAAAATGAATGCATACAGAGCGCTCTAAACGGCAACATTAAATTTGTTGCAGGCTCGCTCTGTCCATTTACGGTACTATTGCATTCAAACTGATCTTATATTTAACGAATTATTAAATGATGTTAAAATGATGTCTTGTTTAAATATTTGTTTGTTTTTCAGAGACGGAACGACTGATGTAACGAGAACATTTTTATGGAGAGAACCAACATCATTTGAAAAAGTATGATTTTGATATTTATTAATAAATTCGTTTGCTTATGATTCCTATATGAATTTAGTTTACACATCTTTTGTTGTTATCATAATTGTTGGTGTTGTAATGATTCGTTATCATAGTCTTTTTTTTTTGTCGTAGAACTTATAACGCAATAACCAAAATTATAACATATGCAACGCAAAAAACACCGTTATCTTTCTATCTAAAGTAAGAACTAATTTCTTTTGTTTATGCATATAGGAATGTTATACACGAGTGTTAATGGGACAGATCAATCTTGCCATGGCAATTTGGACCAAGGGCCTGTTTGGTAAAAATATTTTATTTGATTAACTCATGATTACCGCAAAAACTATAATAACACCAATTACACAATAGTAATAAGCAAGTTTAAGCAAGCAAAGTAAATATTCCGAAGGTGGTTCAACATGGAATGCTTTATGGTCAATTAATTAAACAAAAAATCAAATACTTTACAATTTTCTTATCAACCCGCCGGTTTATCTCCAACAGAAATACAAAGTGTCAGACCTATTATTCAATATTTAAATGCTTCTGCACAGTCCTTTTGGGGTATGCCTTTCAATAACTGACAAATGGCCACCCTAGTCCAGGTTTACTCGTATAGCGATGGATTGCAAGATATCTTATCAGTCTAGGCAAACGTGACTGGATGCCAAGTCTTGATTATATGGTAGATGTTTAAAGGCAATGGCAATTACAGTAGTTCCTTTGTGTGCAGGACCGTTGTCATTCAGAAAATACAGACATTTTGTAACAGTGGAAGAACACTCTTTGGTGAACATTTTTAGGTTGCCAAAATCTTCTTATTACACTTGCAAGCTGGCGTAGAGTAGTGAAATAAGCTTTCATCACCAGTCATAATGATATTAGAAATACTGTCGTATTTAGGAAAACATCTCAGCAATTTTCGAGCACATGTAACTCGCCCTTTGTTCTGGCCCGATGTTAGCAATGGGGTACCATCTTATTCCCATAACTATCTGTGATTCTTCAGAATCGTAAAACTTTACCCTTTTGATATCCATGCGATATGGGCTATCTGATAAGTGAAAGTCTGGCATCTTTGTCAATGATAAACTTGGCTTTATGAATGTTTGGAGCGGTTTATACCAGGTATCTTTTAATTGTCTCTTGCTCATTCTTATTTAATGCATCCCCCTCGAAATAATTGCATAAAATAATTCATTGTTGACATGGATACTTTAAATATCATTATAAACATTGACTGCAGATTTTCCTAGTTTTTCTCAAGCTTTCACGTTGTATTTTACAAGAACTTTGTAACACGGTATTTGGTTTCGTTTGAAAGCATAGCTTAGTTTGCGCAAACACAAGAATCACGAGCTCAATTAGGAAATTTGCTTCGTATTACATTACATATTGACCAACACTTGTATATCTATTATCAATTAACTATACGACTATGGACAAAGTGTTATCCATTGGAAGCATAAATAACAACAAAATTACATAAAAATTGCAGACTTGGTTTGAGTATTAAATTGGTTGCTCTAAAGTTTTTATGCATAATAAGTCAATCTATTTAATAATTAGAATATCATTTGTGGGCTAACACGAAATCATTTGAGTCAATTCCTGGGAAAACATGACTAACAAACTGGGCATTTGATTTACACAGAATAAAGCTGACCTTCAGATTTTGATATATACATAAAGTAATTTCTTATCTATACCACAAAGCATTTCTCATGATCACAAATGTTTCATGGTAATAAGTTCGTATTAGGGAATGTATGATTGTGTTTTACATTATATCGCCCGATTGGTATCTCGATACTGTTATGTATGCCATGATCTTTCGAATGATTAATTTCAATACATACTTAGTGTAATATATTCCACTCCAGCCGGTACTTATGTGTCTCTCAAACAGACTGCATAAAGGCGAAACTCTGATTTTTAATTAATAGCATTATATATCTTTTAGAGAATCTCCTCTTTTAAAGATAAATGAACGCATCTTATGTAATACGTTATTTTCTCAAAATAATTGATCTACCATCAAATCTCTAGTCCCATGTATAAATTAAACTTATTTAGAAATCATCTTTCGTAACAATTCAAACAATTTACAATCCAATATTTGTCTGCAGGTAGGGAAATTGATGCTTGGGCAAGGCAACCGTTATTTGACATTGGACTAACATACAAGCACGGAACAGGACATGGTATTGGACACTACTTGAGTGTACATGAAGGTTTATTATTTCGATGAACTAATAAATAACGATCATTATAGTATCATTATAATTATGCATCATAAAAAATTTCGCATTTTAATATAAAACAATACCGTAAGGATAACATTTACTACGAATAAAAGTAACATATGTAAGTTTGAAAACAAATTAGATTTATTCGTATTTTTGTATGTAATGTAGATTCCAAATATATGATTATCAGTGATGTACATTTCCAAACAGCGATTCCGTTCTTATTTGAAAGTTCACCAAGTCGCTGTTACAGTTTTGAAAAGAAATTCATGGAATGAACGCAAACTTTTAAATGTTTTTTTTCTCGCTTTTAAACCAAGGTCCTGGTCGAATTTCAAATTATCATGCTAAATTTGAATGGGACGTTCCTCTTGCCGAGCATATGTTCTACTCTGATGGTAAGTAAATCATCTTTATATTCCATGTATTGTATTGAATTTCTTACCACTAAGGTTCAAAAATTATTATTCCAAATATGTGCTCTGACTACACCTTAAATGTACTAATTTATTTTATCTACTGGATTCGACTTTGATATTACATTTCATTTATTTCAGTTCCGACAATCACATCTATTGTTTACGAAATGAATTAGTATATACCATGATGAAACAAATACTTCATACAAATTATTTATATTGTTCCAGAGCCAGGCTATTATGAAGATGGGAAATTTGGCATCCGTTTAGAAAATATTGTGTACGTAAAGAAAGTGGAAACAAAGGTATAAATTGGTAGTTGGCAGCAATAATCGCTCGGAGAGATGTGCTTAGTAATTCAATAAACCTACTGTACATATATGTATATGAATAAACATATGTATTTTTAGGTTCTTGTAAGTAACCAATAAATGAAATATTTGACATTATTTTATATATTTTTTAACTTCAAATGACTAGGAAACTTTTTATATCTATCAATTTACCAACGGCTTGTAATTAAGGCTGTTTTTTACCAAACATTCACCGTTGGTGTTTTCTTTTTATTTAAAAAAAACAACACCAACATAAACAAACCTCAAGGAAAGAAAAATGTCTTATCAAAGAATGATAAATGTAATGTTTGAATAACTATGTGATCATGCTTTAAAACATGTATACATACCCAGTCCGGTATATTTCAGTATTCCATGAAGGGAGTGACGATGTTAGGCATGGAGACCGTTACGTTGTTTCCGTACGAAACTCATCTCATTGATTACACTATAATGTCTGAGAAACAGGTAGATATTCTTTATTCTTAAAAATAATATGAAATATTTGAAACAATATTGGCAAATATTTTTAAAACAATTGTATTAGAGGCAAGTACTTTTGGTGTTGTGTACACCATCTTGCTGCCTACTTACGATTGATAGAATTAATTACACCGTAAATAACACAGATCAGATAAAAGAGCCGTGTCACGACAAAACCAACGTAATGCGTTTGCGACCAGCATGGATCCAGACCAGCTTGCGCATCCGCGCAGTCTGATCAGGATCCATGCTGTTCGCTATCAGTTTCTCTACTTATTATAGGGTTTGTAAGCGAACAGCATTGATCCTGATCAGATTGTATATATATATATATGAATTTATGCATGAGATCAGTGCGTAATATCCCTACCTTCTGGTAATGATCTGCACTCCTCGCTATTCAAGATTGAAATATGGGCAAGTCCAATTAAGATGTACAGCGGGAAAATGGTTAAATCTGTATTATTGTTGTATTATAAATTTACTTTCTTTTGTTTATATTCTCAATTATTATACGGTGGCGTCCGTGGCCGAGTAGTTATGAGGTCGTTGACTTCAAACTACTGGCCCTCACCGCTTTGGTTTCGAATTCCGAAAGGGTCTTTGTGGATTTTTTCATGTAAAGAAACTATCCAGCTAGCTTACGGAAAGCAGGTGTCCGTTTGTAGCCAAAATGACCTTAACTGTGTCGGTGTGACGTAAAACACAATCAATCAACTATTATTTTAGAATTAACGCAACATTGTATCTCTTCTCGACATTTGATATAGAACAGTTTATAGTCTCTGAAATAGTACAATTCGAAAGATTTTACACGACACTAATACATTTTTTTAAAAATGACCCCCACTCCAAGTCAAATATGATAATGATGTTAGGTTACGAGTTTTAAAATTCATTTCCGTCAGACTTCGGATAAGGACCTCGCACACAAAATTAAAGTACACAGAACGGATATGGTATTCAAACCTAACCTACGCTAAGAAACTTAAAATGTGCTAATAATCAATTTGTAAAGTAATGCTGGGAGTTGTTGACTAGGTTTATTCGTAAAATTCCACCGTAATTAAGTAAATTCATAGATTTAAAAGTAAACAGTACATTCTGGTAGTTCAAAATGTATACCTGTATAACTTAATTCTGATTTGGTTATGATTGTAGATTAGTGGGCGTTTTTTTATTTCTTAATGATTATCAGACATAATTTGAACCGAAGGAGATCGTATTTTTTTATGTCAAATATACCCTGTATATTATACAATCCTTACACAGTTAAAAAAGAACTACACCCACAAAATATACATATTATATATATAAACAAAATGGCAGAAATACATTTGACAAAATATTGCATCTTTTTTCGATTTTATATACGTTAATCACTTTAATTCTTACAGATTTCCTGGTTGAACGATTATAATGCTATGACATTGGAGAAAGTTGGGAAATTGTTGAAAGAGCAGGATGCTATGGATGCTTATAAATGGATTGAAAAGAGAACAAAGAAAGTTGTAATCAGCGGCGCAGCTACATTACTAGTTTCTAACTGTATATTGTACAGTTTAATGCTGGTAGATTTGTTGTGGTGATATATATACATATAGGCCTAAATTATTGTTTACATTCTGTTTATCCCTTCCATAAATATGTTAACATATTTAATATGTATCGTTTGATTGTTGCTGTGGTGTGTCTTGTGTAAAACCTGAGGTCAGGTAATTCAATTTTTATTGACATCAGATTTCTACGGTGGCACAAAGGTGACATGTGTGTGGTTTTATTTATCTCGTGGCCACGAGATACTAAGTCGTGGCCACGAGATAGCTAAGTCGTGGCCACGAGTTAGTAACTCGTTGCCACGACATAGTATCTCGTGGCCACGACTTAGCTATCTCGTGGCCACGACTTAGAAACTCGTGGCCACGACATAGTATCTCGTGGCCACGAGATAAATAAAAACACACACATGTCACCTTTGTGCCACCGTAGATTTCTTTTCGTAAATGATCGTTCTACTTTATTGAATAACCAGATAAAAAGGTTATGTGATAGTAATTACACGACACACTCTAAAAACATTTTCGATGTTTCCCCTTTTCTGTATCAATCGGCCAATGTTTTTTTCGTAGATACAATTGTAAATTTTTTTGGAAGAGTGAAGTGTTATTTCGCCAGTATAATTTTATGAAGAAGTTATTTGGACACAAATAAATAACTTCGCTGTTGCAGAATATTTGTTGAAAAATTATCTGATATACTCGCTATAAGTGTGAGTAGTTGCTTCTTACTATAAACAAGACATTCAATGTATAATTTCAATTCAAAATTGATATTCGATTTAGAATCATGATAACATTTGTATCATGATTATGTAAAGCATTAAACGTTAAATTTTGAATCACTTTGTCTTTGGATTCCTCAATCAAATGCTTTCTAAGTTAAAATATAGGAAATTAAAGTGATGCAACCAATGATTTGAAAACAGTGACATCGTCAAAATAAAACAGAGAAAAAGCTCCGCTGAGGAGGTGCAATGTACGCTTCATTCAGATTAACATAAGTGTATCCTGTGGCTTAAAGAGATATTGCATATTCATTGTCTTTAATGGCTTAAATTATGACTTTCCTTCAAATCCAAAAAGATAAATCTGATTTTTGTTTCAAGGTAACAAGTTGAAATATCAGTTTAAGAATAATTTATACTCTAACTCTGTATTATCGGCGCAACTCTATTACCGACGTACTCTCAGTATTTTGTCATGTGCGGTCATGCATACATTGAAATTAAAAATATTTGACTTCATTCAATAAAAAAGTTAATGATTAGTTAAAATTTGTAACGTGCTTTAGCATAGAATATTGATATTTAATTCATCAATGAAATTCAAAGTTGAAATATCCGTTTAAGAATAATTTAACTGAACATTATGACTTTATTTCATTTTGATAAAAAGTCAGTTAAATCAAGTTAATCAATGTTGCATTTAGCTGACTGCAGAGTAAAATCAAACTAAATATGCCTATTCTACATACTTGTGCGCGAAACAGATTAAGTGAAATCCTTATTTTAAAGTTATTCTAGGGAAACAAATAATTTAACAGAAAATTTGCTGAAAAAAGGCATATCTCTACTATAATAAGCTTATTGCAATGGAAATTTAACCTTACTTGTGTTTTGACATAACATAGTTATATGCTCCAAAACACAGCATTAGAATCCTTCAAAAGTCATTTTGATTATTCTGATTAAACCAGTAATTTCACTGAAAATAAAATGCCTTAAAGTGGGCATAATTCTATTGCGTTCATTGCAAGGGACACTTGGGAAAATGGAACAAAACCTGTGCTTTAATATAACATACTCACATGCCAAATTTAAATTCAATCACTGAAATTCTTCTACAGAAATCAATAACTTCAAAAGTCTTCACTCTATTTATAAGAAATTGATTGGAGCTGCAATCAAACTTGAAATCCTTCAATAGCTATGCTGTGGAAACCAATTGTCTACGAACAGACTACTTAAGGCTAATACTAAAACTAAATAAAATGGAAAGGCGTTAGCAAAAGACTTTATAACGCGGACCAAGAGGCGTAAAAATGCGAATCAAAAGGCGAAATAAAGCGTATCAAAAGCGTTAATAATGTGAATTAAAAGCCTTTTTGCCTGAATGCTCTTTTTGTTTGTATTTGTTTTGTTTTGCGTGATTTTGCCTTTTGATTTGCATTATAACGCAAGTATTCGCATTAGTTCACCTTTTTTGATACTTTATACACAATTACATCCACCCTTTTGTGACATTTGGAGTGTGATACCAACAACTAAGAGGTCCCTGAGGAAGACAGGGGCGACCGTTCATCACATAGGTCGCCTCATGGTTAAGGCTTTTGTGAAGCAGGAGGAACAAAAATCAATGACAGGACAAAATGAGTTTTTTTTCTATTTAAGGACCATAACTTTATCCAAAAAAAACAAACAACAACAGCATTTAACCGAATAATACGTGTACTATGTGCAAGTACTTAACCTACTGATCAGTCCTGTAAAGTTTCATTAAAACTGCATCAGAGGTATAAGAGGAGTAAATCCGGACAAATTAAAAAAATAAAAACTTTTAAATATAAAAGCATTTAACCAGAAACAAAAAAGAAGATATGTACAAGTAGACTTTGTATTGATCATTCCTGTAAAGTTTAGAGGAAATTGCACCAGCAGTTTCGGAGGAGTAGTCCAGGCAAGCTTCTTTGTAGCTGGCAACTAATAAACAACACCTTTTTAATTCAAGTGCCATAACTCGTCAACACGGAAAACCTGTTTTATATGCAAAAGTACTTGAGCTATTAATCAATCCTGTAAAGTTTCAATGGCATTGCAAAGAGTAAAACGGGTATATTTTATTTACACCCTTTTTATTCAAGGGTCATAACTCATTCAAATATCATTCAAGCGGAAAACCCATGTAATATGCGCAAGTGCTTGAGTTATCAATCAATCGTTAATCAATATTGCATTTGTGGTATAAGAGAAGTAGTCCGGAAAAATAGTTTAAAAATAATAATCAACTCTGACAAAAATGTCGATATCTTGCACAACAAGACTTAGTATTGATCATTCCTGTAAAGTTTAGACGGACATTCAGACGGACAGACAGACAGACATGCGACGGAAAAGTGATCCCTGTATGTCGCAACTTATCTGTAGAGGTGTCACAAGAATGAAAACACAGATGAACAGTTAAGAGCATTTCTCGTATGAAAATTGCACAATATCTGTTTGATTAATTATCTATAAAAAGTAAACAACGTACGGTACAAAATAGAAATGGTCGATATTGCATTGGTATGTAACGCATACTTTTGAGCAGGAAGTATAAGTATTGTAATGATTAAAGATCCAGTTGAGAGGATGCACTGTATTATAAAGAGACGATTACGGGTGGTTTTACAATTGATAAAAATAGGTATAAACTTTTTCATACTGAAGCACATAAGCCTTGCCTCAACAGATAAACATGCACTATGGTGTAAATTGATTGATCTTTACCGATGGCTATTCAATGGTAAATTATACTATGAAAATAATGTTGGAATGCATACATATGCTTCACAAACCGATGCTTCTGTTATAGATTATAATTTGAAACAGAATTTTAAACATCACTCATTTTTGTCTTTCTAAAGATTTTCCTTTGGAGAGTTTAAGAGTTTAATTTCATTCCTTCTTTTTCCTTTTTGAAGGTTTATCTAAAAATAAATCTAGTTTCACCAATAATGAATGAAATGATTTTTGCCATGAACATTTTAATTATGACTGTCCCTATGGAAAAATTGACTTTCCCTTTCAAACGTGAGATAAAGAAAGTTGTACAAACACTCAAGTTGCACGAATATTTTATAGAGTGTGTTGATTTTTTTCGCTATCATTAGTGTGGTAGTTCCAATGCCATTTTAAACTCTGATCTTATCAAGATAATGGACGAACGATATAATTGTGCCCATACATGTATATCAAAATGCGGTCCGAGATAAGGTAATCATTATCGGGTAAAAGCCTTAGTAAGCTGTCTATCCATGGTTTTTATTTCTATGTCGAAATATTTTAGGACAGATATTCAGTTTTTTTTATTTTGGTTTTAGAAAGGTGATATCAACCGTTGATTCACTTTTCATTGTACATTACCTTAATATATGTAGGGTCTTTGAAATTATTTATGGATAAAACTGTAAAAATGTGGTTAACAAGGAAATATTTTACGAACCATTAAAAATATGTATGACAAAGTAAGATCATGTGTAAGATGTTATAAATCTTTTCAAACTTTTCCTTTATGCTGTAAGCTTACATCAAGGGGAGGTTACTGCACCACCGTATTCGTAGAATACATTGCATAATATTCATAAAATAACTAAAACTTAAGATTATCGATTGATTATATTGTTTTGATTTTATTGCTTTCCGCTTTCGATGTGTCCATTGTATGCCGAACTACTGAAGATGTACAAAAGAGCGTCTATCTTTTTATATGCCCGAAAGAATTTCGGGCACATTATGTTATACCCCCTGCGTCCGTCCATCCGTCTGTCTTTCCGAGCAAACATTTTGGGTTTAGGGGCTATGTAACAGTAAAGAGAGCAAAAGAGTACAATAGTTCATTCCGTGATCAAAGGGTGTATGGGCTAGTAACACTTACGAAAAAAAAAAAAAAAAGATAAAGAAAAAAGCCCCTAAACCCAAAATGTTGGAACGTCCGTCCGTCGGTCTGTCCGTCCGTTCGTTAGCAATTTGGTTTCCGGAGCATTACTTAAGTTCCATTTGGCCCACAATATTCAAACATCATAAGATGATTGTCCATATTGGGAAGAAGACCCCTATTGATTTTGGGGTTACAAGGTCAAAGTCACTATGACCTTAAAACTGAAAACAGTTTGCGGAGCATTACTTAAGTTCCATTTTGCCCACAGTGTTTAAACTTCATCGGATGATTGTCCATATTGGGTAGAAAACCCCTATTGATTTTGGGGTCACAAAGTCAAAGGTCAAGGTCACTATGACCTTAAATCTGAAAACAGTTTCCGGAGCATAACTTGAGTCCCTTGGCCCACAGTGTTCAAACTTCATAGGATGATTGTCCATATTGGGTAGAAGACCCCTGATGATTTTGGGGTCGCAAGGTCAAAGGTCACTTTTACCTTAAAACTGAAAACAGTTTCCGGAGCATAACTAAAGTTCCATTATGCCAACAGTGTTCAATTTTCATAGGATGATTGTCTATATTGGGTAGAAGACTGCTATTGGTTTAGGGGTTACAAGGTCAAAGGTCAATGTAACTATTACTTTGAAATTGAAAACAGTTTCATGAGCATAACTTTAGTTCCATTCGGCCAACAATATTCAAATTTCATAGGATGATTGTCCATAAAAGGTAGAAAACCCCAATTGATTTTGGGGTTACAAGGTCAAAGGTTAAGGTCACTATTACCTTAAAACTTATAACAGTTTTCTAGGCATAACTTAAGTTCCATTTGGACCAAAATATTCAAACTTCATAGGAGGATGGTTATTTGAAGAAAATAATACTTTATTTAATTCCAATGTCTTACAAATGCTTCATCTTTACCTAGAAAAAAATCACTTTCGGGCATATAATGCTCCGCCTAGCGGTGCTCTTGTATATTTTGTTTTGCTATAAATGGGGATAAGAAGTAAATACCATTGACAGTAAAATTGTTGTCTTTGGAAAAAAAAATTTGATCAACGAAAAAGGACTTAAAATGTCAGCCAATAGCTGTAGTAGATCCCTTTAATTACCTCGGTACAGTGTTCAGGCATTTTTTCCAATGAATATTTACTTTATTTAACTTAGAGACAATTAGCATATCATTTATAAATTGTAAAGA